AACTCCCCTTTCCCCAATTTATGCTTTTTTACTTTCCCAAGTTATGCTATTGTTCTCAGAAAACAGCTGAGAAGCTGGCCTACAAGAATTAAAGGAACACAGATAATAAAAGACATCATCTGGCCAAAATCAGGAAGTGAGAATATACAGGAAAAGGAAGAAGACTGTAGAATAAAGAAGAGGTGAAGAAGGAGAAAAGACACACACACAAAAAAGGTAGAAGAGTAAAAAGAGGTGGTACATGGACATATGGGATAGTACAAGCCTTAACTGACACTGCACATGGAGATTTAAGAAAGAAGCAAACCAAAAGTCTGAGACAAGGAATGATGACCCATAATCCCAGTGACATGTGAGGCTGAGACAGGAGGATCACAAGTTGGAGGCCAGCCTCAGCAATTTAGAGAGACCCTCAACAACTTAGAGAGACTCTGTTTCAAAGAATTAGAGCTGGGGATGTAACTCAATGGTAGAGTTCTCCCTAGCATGCATGATGTCCTGGGTTCCCTTCCCAATACTGCAAAAAATTATAAATAAAAATAAATTAAAGGACTGGAGATGTCGTACTAGGGATATGGCTTAGTGGTAAAGTACCACTTGATTCAATCCCCAGTAGAAAAACAATAAAAAAAATTCCACTGGAACAGCACACAGTCTAGGCAGATTTACAATATACATTCATAGTTCACCTGTCAATTCCTGCCTTTGCCCAATTGCTTTCTGACCTATCCAGTGAGTCCAGATTCATTCAGACTTTTCTTATTCTATGTGTCTGAAAACAACTCTTTTCTATCCATTGGTAAACCTGTTTAGCTGTATGTCTAGTCATTGTTTCACCAGCTAATACATCTTGGTTTCTCTCCACCTGAGGCTAAAACTCCAATGTTTCTTGATTTTCATGGGGAGGAAGGCTTTGGGTGAATTAATGACATCCCTGACTGAACTCATTCTTTGATTATTGCTCTTGACTTTTCCTGTGTTCTTGCTAACTTCTCACTGGTTCCTTATCATGAGACTTAAAACATCACACATAAGAAAATAAACAGATCAATAATTCCTGTAAATGCTATTAAGTGTAAGGTGTGTTGCTAATTCTGTGTATTAAGGTGGGGAATTAGATAAGAGATATGAACCAAGTGGTTATTATTGCTAAATTTTTTATAATAAACATTGAATCTCATTTATAAAGATTTCCATTCAAATGAATGTATTTTTAGTGAAGAAAGTCAGTGCTTTTAAAGGGTCAGTCTTTAAATACAGAAAAACACATAAAGTCAAAACAAAAATAAATACCAAGTATTTTTTTATTTATGAAAATTTTTTAGTTGTAGACGGACACAATACCTTTACTTATTTTTTTTAATATTTGATTTTTAGTTGTAGTTGGACACAATACCTTTATTTTTATTTATTTATTTTTATATGGTGCTGAAGATCGAAGGCAGGCCCTTGCACATGTGAGGCTAGTGCTCTACCGCTAATCCACAAACCCAGTCCCTTATTTATTTATTTTTAAAGATTTTTTTAAAGATGGACACAATAACTTTATTTATTTTTATGAGGTGCTGAGGATTGAACCCAGTGCCTCACATGCTCGAGGCAAGCGCTCTACCACTGAGCTATAACCCCAGCCCCTACTTATTTATTTTATGTGGTGCTGGATCAAACCCAGTGTCTCACGAACACCTATTGTCTCATGAGTGCTAGGCAAGCACTGTACCACTGAGCTCCAACTCCAGCCCAAACAGGATTTCTCAAAGGTTTTAGGGCTTTGTCAGGGTTTATCATGTGGTGCCCCTTCCTTTCATTCATTCAATAAATATTTATTTTATTTTAACATTTTTTTTTAATATTTATTTTTTAGTTATTGGCGGACATAACATCTTTGTATGTGGTGCTGAGGATCGAACCCGGGCCGCACGCATGGCAGGCGAGCGCGCTACCGCTTGAGCCACATCCCCAGCCCCAATAAATATTTATTTTTAAAAACTAATTGAGTACCTGAAAAATGCATGCTCTGATGAATAAGATAGAATCTACTTCTAAGTAGTCTAAAGACTAGTAGGAAATATTGCAAAAATGATGCCACTGGAAGATGATGTCAGAATCTTTCCAGATGGAGTTTTTGGATTGAGTCCTTTAGGTCCAGGAGGAGTTAAACAGAATGAGCTGGTGGTGGGTCAAGCTGGGGAATGGGGTGGGGTTGAGGGAGATGATTAGGAAATCTGAAGCTGGAATAAAAGTACTGGATTGCTTTTACTTCAGCATCTTTTTCTAATTATAAGCCATTCTGCCTGCAGACTTGCTGCTTCCCTGCCCCACCTAGAGGCCCTTTGGGATCACAAAAAGGAGTGGCCTTGAGAACTGAAGGGCTGGAAGGTTGTCTTGGCTGCTACACTCCCTGAGTGACCTTGGGCAAGTTGTTTGACTTCTGTGAGCCTGTTTTATTCATTTGGAAAATGGGAATGGTAACCCAGGTTACATGACAGAATGTAAGTCAAGCTTCTGCCTCAATACATTAAGATTTCCCTTGATTTAGTTTTGGAAATTGTATTATTTTTCATGTGGATAGGTGCGTGAGGCATAGCTGGGGAGAAAGCTCTCCAAGTAGCAGTGTTGTGCTCAGCCTTTCCTCTTCTCCATCCCCTCCCCTCCATTTCCCCCCTCTCAGATTCAGAATTCCTGCTCCCAGGGATCCTGGGCTTTTGTTCTCTGGAGGCTGAAACATCCACCTGTTTTGCTCTGATTTGCTGTTTACAAGGTAACATCTGTTGTCTGCAGGCTGTCACAAATTGAAATTGTCAAAATTTATGGACAGCAAGGGCTAAGTATTGAAGTTTGTTCACACTAACATATCAATGCTTTTCCATTTTCCCTCTATTTTTTTATTTTCTGAGGACCTCCCCATTGACAGTAATCACACCTTCTTTACTAGCTGGCGCCTCTTAAGTTTTGGTCACTAATTAAAAAGTTTAGCATCAATTACATTTTATTATATATCTGTCTTTCCCACATGATTTTAAGCTCTTAAATCTATAGTAGGATTGGCCATAACAGTTTGTCAAACTTGAATATATATAACAATCACCTGGGGGATCTGGTTAAACTGCAGAAAACAATTCAATAGGTCTGGGGAGGGGGTGAATTTCTAATAGGCTTCCTGGTGAAGCCCATGCTGCTGGGCCCTGACCACACTTGGAGTTGGAAGGCCTTTACAGTTACAGTGTTGAGAACAAAGGAGTTGCATAAAAAATGATTTCTGAGGGATGCTTTGGATTCGATAATTCAGTTTCTTGGACTTTTCTTCAGTACAATTTTCTGCCCCTTTCCTATGCATGATTTGCCACCAACTGATGATTATTTTTTTATGCAATTTTGTGCCCTTCCTTGCCACCTTCATAGTCTCCAATCCTGCACAGAAATGGATCATTTAGTAGTTTCACAAACCTCTTTCTACTTTCATCTACCTTAAAAGAGTAAGAAAAAATTTTTTAAAGAATAATTTTTATTCTTTTCTTGCTCTACAACCAATGATAGCTCCAAAGTAGTCAACAAAGTCAAATTCAGGATGAGAAAGTTGAAGCCATATCACCAACAATTTCCTCTCCCTTGCCAATTCCCTTTTTGCTCTGCATGGAACCCTCTGCAAACCTTAAGCTACAACTTAGTTTTTTGAAAGTCCTTGCAGGTCATTTTACTTTGGGAATGTAAATTCATTCCTTTTGAAAAGGCATGCTGTTTTTGTATATTCATTAAAGCTTTTTCTAACTTATTGCCAGTTGAATACTTTATTTAAAGCAGTACTAGCTATGTATCAGTATCAATAATTACATATTTTAATATTCTTTTAAAATATATTTTCATCCCTTTTAAAATAGGAAGTAAATGTGCTTGCTCATAGCTATATCACAACACCAAAGTGGGCTTAATACACAGTAGGTACTTTTGAGGGGGTTCAATGAAGGATGAAACAAAATTTAAGATTAATTTTATTAATGCTCAAAATGCCTTATTCACTACATATTTATTGTAAACCTGAATTAATGGTAAAGAACACAATAAGACAATACTGGTGACAGCTCTGGTAAGAGTAAAAATATTAAATTATCAGATCACATCAAATGCTTGGGCATATTATTACCAATATATCATGACATGCATAAGCTAAAGGATCAAAAATAAGGTAATATTTAAAATCCCTTGAAAAGTATTTTGAAATTTGGTAACACTCACTGTACCACCTACCAGTACCATTCTACTGGGGAAATAAAATTCAGAAGCAGGTAAAATTTAGTCTGGGCCCAAACCCACATCCTATCTAACAAGCTTATGCTTTCCTGTCATTGTTTTTTAACCTTCGCATTTTGCATTTGTTGGGACTGCATTTTTCTTAACAGTTCTTGGTGATTTAAATGTAAAATAAATGAATGAGACTTTCTCATATTACAATCTCAAGGAAAAGCAGACAGTAAGGTTCATTCAGCGAGGTGCATGGCCTACAAGCTGCATACCCTGCAACCGCTTGGTGCTCCAATTTTATCTATGGGTTTTTGTACAGCTCCTCTTTTTTGTATGATGCAAATCGCCCAAGAAAGAATTAAAGCCTCCCCGCCCTGGGAAACGATGCAAAAACAGGCTGCCTGTTTCTCCCTAATACGCATCCAAGTGCGATGGGCCCTGATATCCGCCCCTAAACCCGATACACAACAATCGCTTCCTCCCTCCCCGCCTTTTACATACAGTACACATACAAATACACACACGCAGAGCAGCCAGCAGGGGCGGGCCAGGCCCGACCATTCCACAAACCACAGGGGAGAACCACAGCCACTCCAGCTATTTTCCCTTACTTCTTCGTTCTTTCTTATCTGTTTCTCTTTTCTGCTGAATACAATTATTAGTGAAAAGGTAACATGAGGATCTAGGGTCTTCAAAACCTCCGCTCTGGAGTCACAGACTTTGTGGGGGTGCTATACTATCCCCCCTACCTCAGCGAGCACTTGGTCCCGCCCCAGTGCTAGCGGGCGCCGAGCGGGAGCCGCGCGGGAGCGGCGCAGCGACGGCGGCGGCAGTGGTGGCGGCGGTTGCGATTCTTAGCCGTTGAGACGCCTCTGCGGCAGCTGGTGGCGCAGGTGGCTTGCGTGGACGCGGGCGGAGGCGGCCGGCCCGCCACCGCAGCCTCAGCGCCCACGGACCCTGCAGGTGAGCGGGCGGCGGTCACTCGCCCCGCCCCCCACCCTCGTTGGCCTCTCTGTTGGCTGTAGCGGGGAAGTGGACGCGGCCCGGCCGAGGGGCGACCAGGGGCTGCGACCGTCGGGGAGCAGGTTTTGGGGGAGGTTGTGCGTGGATGGAAGGGAAATGTCCGCCTTAATCCATCTTTCTCGTCACTGTATCCGCCTCCCTTTGGAGGGCTTGAGCCCGTGGAAAAAGCCCTGGAAAAGATGGGGCGGGAGGAGGGAATCTGTGGTAGGGCAGCATCCCCGCCTCAGGTGGTGGCGTCTTTTAGGCTAGGGACCTGTTCCAGCCTGGAGGGGTAGCTGCGGAGGCCGCGCTCTCCGGGAGGAGCGGGAGGCGGCCCTCCTCTTACTCTCCCACCCCCACCTTTGCTGTCCCTGCCCCTCCCCCTCCCTCTGCGGCCCCTCCCTTCGGGTTTCTTCGCTTTAACCGACCTCCCTGCTGTCCCTCGCAGGCCCGTCGGGACACCCCGAGGCATCCTCCCCCGCCCGCCGGCGAGGGAGCCTGGGCTCATCCGCGCTCCCGCATCTCTCTGCCGCGCGCACCGCCGCATCTCCTCTTGGTTTTGGGACCCCCGGCCTCGCCCCCGAGACATGACTCGCGATTTCAAACCTGGAGACCTCATCTTCGCCAAGATGAAAGGTTATCCTCATTGGCCAGCTCGAGTAAGTGATTTCTAGCCTTCGCGTTTAGCGGTGCTCCCTTCATTCTCAGAGGCCTTCTTCCTGCCATTTCTATTATTTTTTTCCTGTGTCCTTTCTGCCCCTCGATTTTCTTTATCTCGTTTGTAATTTCTCATTTTCGCTTTTGCCCGGTAATCTCCCATGTAATTGTAAAAATTTAAGTTTTCTTACATACTCATTTATTTCCCTATGGCTTGTTTTTGACAGTCATTGACAGGTGTTCTTATAGGAAATATTTAGATGACATGCCAGTTAATGTTCCACTGTAGGTGAAATTATCCAGAATAAATTTATGTTTAAAAACTAGTGAAACATGACGTTTACTAAATTTTAAATAAAATGCAAAATATCAATGGAACCTATGCGAATTACAAACTCTTGAATGTCAGAAGTGTATATTTGATTAAATTGAATTTTCAGGGTTTAAAAAAATACATGAGTTGAGTTGATGAAACCTTCTGGATTTGCTTGTTTTAAAAAAAGGTGTTTAGGACTGCATATTCTTGAAAATTTTTCAGTTAGTCAATACCAAGGAAGGTCCATAAAATTTATTTCCACGTTTTTATTTATGTTGTTTACCTTATGACCTTGAGAAGTTATTTTACTTTTTTGTTTTCTATGGACAAAAGGAGGAGTGGACCAGATTCTGGGATCACATCTGCTGGTATAGAGTGATCTCCAAGGACCCAGGATGTTTTGTGACACTTAGGAATTGAAACTGTGTGAAATACCTAAGCTCCATTTTCAGAAAAATACCGTTTGTTAGATTTTCATGGGACCTGGTTTTTAAGACCCATATAGATACAACCTAAAGAATGTTGAGATACATTAGAGTAAGCTCAATATCTTTTTAAGATATTCTAAAGTTGTAATTATTGTTTTTTTTTAAACCATTTACTCCCAATTTGCCTCAAAAATAATTAAATCCTATAGTTCTAGTTATGTCAGCTGGAAAGAGGAATGTGCAGAGATACCCATTAGATAACAGAATCATGGAGGGAGCAACTGAGAGTGCCATCCAAGTATAGTTTCTTGATTTCTTTTTTCCTCTCCAGCTATTTTATAGAATCTATTTAACATATTTCCTTTCAAAGCTTTTTTTTTTTTTTTTGTTAGTCTTATCATGTCTCCTTTTTCAGTGGAGTTTCACTTGAACATCTTTAATCATAAACCTTTTCTAATATTTGGCATTCTAATCTGTTCCCTTTAGGAAAATCTTTTAATTCTTACTTTGTGTATGTTTTCAATTAGCAATAATCGCGCCTCGGATAAACCTCATTGGCTACGATACTGCCACTGCGCAAAGCTGTGTATGTTTTGACTTCAAATATATTGTAAGCTTCTTGAGGGCAGTGGCCTTAAACTGGAATTTTTAAAAACCCCACCAGTCGTTAGCTACATAATCATGCACTTAAAAAAAGCTCTATATTTAGTATTTAAATAATGCCTAGGGACCTGAACAGGTTTAAGGTCCCTCCAAGATACTTTTTTTTTTTTTTTTCAAGGCATCTTTATTTTTGAGTTATAAAAATCTGAGGGCATCTGATACATCCATATTCAGATTCCAAAGCCACACTAGTGAGAAGCCAAGTGGAAATTCTTAAAAAATTTTCTACTCCCACATCATCCTCCCCACACCCTTCAATATGTTAGGTGACTAAGAGTTAGTGCTATTAAAAGTAAAAATAAAGTAGCTTTAGGAGGGCCAGAGTATTTTCCTTCTTTAACAAGTCTTGCTTTTAATGAGTTCATTTGGATTGCAATGGGAATTTTTTGTCATTTCCCCCCTTGGAAGCAGCTAAATTTAGTTTTGACATATTCTGTGTTTAAGAATTATGTTTTTTCCATCTTTAGTCTTAGAAATTGTAAATCTTTGTTTTACAGAGTATTGAAGTTTTCAGTTGTAAAGGTAATACATCTTGTTCCCATTTTGGGTTTAACATTTTCTGTCTACATATTCATTCCAAACTGGATTACTTCTAAGTCTTACATATTCTTGTAATCCTTAACTAGTTTTTTTTTTTTAAATCAATTTTTAAAAAATTTGCCTAACATTTGTTAAGCTCAGTCTGTGCTAATAATAAGCATTTGAAAAGACTCCTAAAGCTATGTAATAGCAGAAAGAAATATATGAACTAAATTGACAGAAAATATTCTTTATTTTAAAGGCTTAAGGATTTTTTCAATTTTTAGGGCCTTCCCACAAAGTTGAAATGACAGGTTGAAGTGACAGGTATAAATGGAAAAATTAAGGTCTCTAGTGGTGCTGGATGGTAATAACTTTATTGGTGTCTGAAACCTTCCAGTGCAATCACATTTATGGTCTGGCCTTCTATGGTGTAATGCTTACAGAGTCAGCACCCTTGACAGTCAACTGATTTTTTTTTTTTAATTGCTTTTTTAAAAAAATATATTTATTTTTTACATGGTACTGAGGATTGACAGTGCTTCATGCTTGCTAGGCGAGCACTCTACCCCTGAGCCACAACCCCAGCCCATTAAATGACTTTTTTAAAAAAAAAATCTTTTTTTAATTGTAGTTGGATACGATACCTTTATTTATTTATTTATTTATTTTTATGTGATGCTGAGGATTGAACCCAAAGCCTTGCATGTGCTAGGCGAGTGCTATACTGCTGAGCCACAACCCCAATCCTAATCAAATTGCTTTTGAAGTAGAAATTTGTTAAATTCTTTCTAGATACCAGAATTTATTAAATTCTTTCTAGTTTGAATACAGGGAATAAAGGAGAGTAACATTACAGAAATGTTAGATATAACAAATACCACCTAATGCTGTTTTCCTTAATTAAAAGGGTTGAAAGAGAACTGAAAAAGGAATAGATAACCCCATCTGATTCAACCATGTAGATGGAGGATCTTTTCATAATATGTGTTTCATACTTCGGGAAATACTGCTTTAAACTTTTGTTAATGTCTTTTTGGGGGCGAGAGTATTGGGGATTGAACTTAGGAGCACTCGTTGCTGACTCCTGAGCTGCTGGAATTACAGGCGTGGGCCACTGCTCTTGGCAATGTCTCTTTTTTTTGGTATATATGTACCTTTTTTTTTTTTGGGGGGGTGGTGTTGGGGATTGGACCCAGGGCCTTGTGTATGTGAGGCAAACACTCTACCAACTGAACTATACTATAACCCCAGCCCTTATTTGTATATTTTTTGCAGTGCTGGGAATTGAATTCTTGTGTTCTTTTTTTAAATTTTTTAGCTGTCAATGGACCTTTTATTTATTTATATGTGGTGCTGAGGATCGAACCCAGTGCCTCATACTTGCTAAGGCAAGTGCTCTACCACTGAGCCACACTCCAGCCCGAATTCTTGTGTTCTTATGCATGTTGAGCAAGCACTGTACTAGTGAGCTATACCCCAGGCCAATTTTTTCCTTTACATTACTGTGTTTTTTTGTGTAGCTTTCCTACAGAAATATTGTTTAGGATTGTGGAATAGGTTCAGATACTTTATATGAAAAGCTTAGGGCCAAATATGTTTAATAATTCAACAATTTGGTATTTTAGGAAGTTGAAACCTATGCCACGTTTTCCTGCTGGTAGGGTCTGGGATAGCACATAATAATCTAACACATTGTTTCTGCAGAGAAACAACAGAAATACTAGCTGAATGACTGAATTAACCTCAGTGTCAGTCCAGGTTTTGCTACCAGATGAGGTTTTGAAAAATCTTGTGTTTTAGAACTTCTTGGGTTTCAAAACTGGAGATATAGGATTATGGGCTTTTGATAATGAGTCCATTTTTTGTCTGTTTTGAATGTCTTATTCTTAGTTTTTTCAGGTATGTATTATTGAAAATATTTTAATTTTAATTTTTCAAATATTTCTTTTAGGTAGATGAAGTTCCTGATGGAGCTGTAAAGCCACCTACAAATAAGCTACCCATTTTCTTTTTTGGAACTCATGAGACGTAAGTCCTGTTAGCATAGAGGCAAATAATACTTAATGTTGTGGGTCATGTGACATAAAATGAAGAGCAAGTAGAGATTCAATGGGAAGATAATAAAAAAATAGAGAACTTTAATTAAAATCATTGAGATTTGAAAAATGTCTTTGAGTCTCTTTTTTTTTTTGATGGTTCTGGAAATTTTCTCTTATTTTTATTTATTTTTTTTAAAAGAAATATTCATTTATTTATTTATTAGGTGTAAATGGACACAACACAGTGCCTTTATTTTTACGTGTTACTGAGGATCGAACGAGCGATCTACCGCTGAGCCACAATCCCAGCGCTCCTCTTATTTTTAAAGTAGACACTATAGGTTTAATTTTTATTGGAATAGATGTTTTCTTAATTAAAAAAGCAAAGTGTTTTCTCAGCAATCACATGGATGAGTGACAGATGAAAAAAATGTAAGGGAAGTTTTAACAAGGTCTTTAGTAGGCCTATTTAGTAAAATGTCTTTTGTACAAGTACTACCTGATACCCTGTTTTAGGCTTTTTGTGATATTAGCCACACAAACTATGTTGTGGAGAAGATGAGAAGAAGAAATCTGGACAGTTACCTGTATGTGTTTCTGTGGTTACTAAAGCCACTATGACTGCTCTGCTGTTCTGGTGGATATGTGAGCAGAGAACCAATTACTAATGTGAAGCAAAATAATTTTTAAGAAAAATGCAGCTGAAAGTTGAACTGTTAATTGTAGGTACATGGCATTGTTCTGGGGCCCATCACATTAATTCCCAAAGGTTATATTCTCAGGTGCCTATAATTTAATCGCTTTACAAATACTATATAATCTGTCTGATTTGGGACTTGAAATAATTTTTATTTGTAGAATAGAATTGTTTGAGATGAAAAATAAAACTGTTGATACTGTGATTATAATTATGTATTTCTAAGAGTGACTACAATGGCAATATTTGGTTATGTTGTTCAGCTGTTGTATATACTTCCACATAATTTCTTTAACAGCTTTATTGAGATGTGATTTATATACCACTGAGTTTATAGTGTGTAATTCAATTGATTTTAATATATTTTGATAGATTTTAGTGTAATTATTCTTTTACCCATTAATGATCACTTCATCCCCTTCTTCCCAGTCCTTACCTACTACAGTCTCCAATCTGTATAGATTTGCCATTTACAGACATTTCATGTTAATGGTATTATACAATATCACATAATTAGTTTGTTTCAAATGTAATTTTAGATCTAGAGTTGGATTGGCCTTTACTGTATTTAATTTGAGTTACATTCAGACATATTGTATTAAAAAAGAAGAAAAAAAATATGTGTGTATGTACATATAATACAGTTTTAAACTCTTTTTTTGGGGGAGGGGGTACTAGGGATTGAACCCAGAGGTGCTCAGCCACTGAGCCACATCCCGTGTCCTTCCCCCATCTCCATTTTGAGACAGGGTCTTCCCAAGTTGCTTGGGGCCTTTCTAAGTTGGTGAGGCTGGCTTTGAACTCAAGATCCTCTTGCCTCAGCTTCCCAAGCCTCTGGTTTACAGGCATGCTCCACCATGGAAACCTAAGCAAAATTAATAGGGAAAGGATTCTTGTGTATGTGTACATGGTACTGGAATTGAACCTGGAGACACTCTACCACTGAACTACATTCCTAACCTTTTTAATTTTGAGACAGGGTCTTGTTAAGTTGCTCAGGTTGCCCTCAAATTTGTGATCCTCCTGCCTCAGCCTCCTGAATAGCTGGTATGATAGATGTGTATTCTCAAGCCTGGGGGGAAAGGAATCTTTGAAAAATTGTATACTTTGTATTAGTGTAGGGGTTTGTAAAGTATGCTTCATGCTAGGTCTAGCAATGCCAGAATCATGGATTTTTAGTTAAAAAAGGAAAGTTCTTAATGCCCCATCCCTGATATACTGAATCAGTTTGTGAGGTGAGGAGCCTGAAAGTCTGTTTTAACAAGCCTTCCAGATGATTTTTGATGTGTATGAAGTTTGGAAATATTAATTTGAGCAGATATTCTTTAGAATTTTTCAGTTTTGTAAGTTTAAAATTCCTTATTTCAGTTTTTCTGATTTTGTTTGTTTATCTATTTATTTGATACCAGGGATTGAATTCAAGGGCACTCGACCACTGAGACACATCCCCAGTCCTATTTTGTGTTTTATTTAGAGACAGGGTCTCACTGAGTTGCTAAGTACCTCACCGTTGCTGAGGCTGGCTTTGAACTCTTGATCCTCCTGTCTGCTGGGATTACAGGTATGTGCCACTGTGCACAGTAGTAGTTTTTCTGATTTTAAAAGATTTTATGATGTTATATGTATTCTTAATTTTCATAAAACACTTAATACATTTTTTTTTTTTTTAAACTCAGGGGCACTTATCCCTTAGCTACATCCCCAGTGCTTTTTAATTTTTAGATAGGGTCTTGCTGAGTTGCTTAGGGCCTTAGTAAGTTGCTGAGGCTGGCCTTGAACTTGCAATCCTCCTGTCTCAATCTCCCAAGTTCCTGGGACTATAGGTGTGCACCACTGCCTGGCCCATTCTTAAGTGGTCTTTCCCCACCCCATATTGAACCCCAGGGCCCTATACATGTTACTTACTTTTTTCTTGTGCTGGGGATTGAACTCAGGGCCTTGCACATGCTGGCCAAATGTTCTACCATTGAGCAACACACCTATACCCCTTGTTAGGCAGGCACTTTACTTCACAAATATACCCCAGCCCTAGGTTATTATTTTAAATTCTGAAGAGGAATGGGCATTCTTTCCCCAGTGTTTAAAAATGAGGATTTTACTTTATATTTTTGCAGTGCTGGGGGTGGAACTCAGTGCTTCCTACATGCTAGGTAAGTGCTATACCACTAAGCTATATCCCCAGCCAAATATTTATTTTAAATCAAAACATACTACATCAACTAATTTATTGTGCATTATTGAACAGATAACTAAGATTGTGTATGAAGAAAATAAAATTCAAGAAATATATTCAAAGAATTAAAATTTTACACAATGCTTTTATAGTGTTTTGGTCCTTAGTGTTCTCACAAATATATCATCTATCTTTGGAAAGACAGTGCTGCCATATACCTGTTGGTGTGGTAACAACATTTTTTTTTGTACTTTAGTTTTTAGGAACTAGATCTCTAATAGTCCTGGGAGGGTAGTTATGTATTTGAACCTTTTTCAGTTTGGACTTTGTGTAAATGGAAGTTTATTCTGACAACCAGGAGTTAGATGGGACAGGAAGAACAAAAGAAATAGCACTGTTTGGAAGATTACTAACTTATAACTAATATATAAATGAAGATTTTATTGTGAATTTAGAACAAGGATCCTTTTGTGACTGCATTCTTTCCCTAACCTGTAAGCCATCCAATTTTACATCTCATTTGATGATATTTATAGTAAATTTGTCCAGTAGTAAAGTTTTTTTGTTTGTTTTCTTTTTGCAGTACTGGGGATTGAACCCCAGGGTCTCACATGTAGTAGGCAAGTAATCTACCACTGAGCTAACACCCCCAGCCTTTTTAGATTTTGAGATAGGGTCTTGCAAAGTTGCCTGTGCTGGCTTCATATTTGGTGATCCTTCTGCCTCATCCTTCCAAGCAGCTATCATTCCTTAATCGGTGTGTACCACCATGCCTGGCTAAGTTTTGAATATTAGTGATCCCTTATGTTTGCTAACTGTGATTGTCTACTAGGTATCACAGATTGAACATTTAAAACTGAATCTTAGTAGATGGTTCTGATATGAATCTAGTTCTTTCTGATACTGGAGCCAAAGTCTTGGTGTTATCCTTGATTCCTTATTACAGTCTTTGCCTTTCCTCCCCACATCTAGTCAGTCAGCAAATCTTGTTATTATTGTATCTTTCCTTCAAAATGCATCTTGATCTGCCTGCTCTGTGGTTCCTCTGATAACAACTAAAGTCCATCTCACAATTCCTGTAATTATTGTTCTTATCCTATCTTGGTCTCATTTTCAACTCTAAATATATAATCAAAGTGACTTCATATGCCAATCAGGTTGTGTCCTTTCCCTGTCCAAAAACCTTCAGTGATTCCCTATTAACATTACCATAAACGTTTCCATAAACTTGGTAGCACATGCCTGTAATTACAGCTACTTAGGAGACTGAGGCAGAAGTATTGAAACTTGAAGGCCAGTCTGGGCAACTTAGCTAAACCCACTTCTCAAAAATAAAATGAAAAGGGCTGGAAATGTAGCTCAGGCTTGTCCAGCATGTGGGGGGCCCTGGGTTCAGTGCCCAGTACAAGAAAACCAAACCTAAGAAACTATTTACGAATACTGTTTATGAGACCCTATATGAATTAGTTCATGTTTACCTCTCCAGCTTGTCACATTTTTCATTGCTTTTTTTCTGTTTTACAAAGTATGTCTCATCTTTCCTCAGGTTCTTTTTACTTGTTTATCCTTTTCTGGAAATGCTATGTGGTTGGATATTTACAGTCATTTAGATCTAAGCTCAGTATCTCCTTTTTATGTTTATTTTCTCCAATGTAGTGAAGACTTAAAATGATTTTTTTTTTTCCTCTTCACCCACAAGTGAAAAGCTGAAATCACTTATTTAAGGGCCTTCTACGTAATAGCTGTTGAATCTGAGGATTGAAAATTTGATGCTCTTAGAGTCATTTGTTATTATGAATTTGCCTTCCATTTACTAATACAAAATGTTTAATACAACTTCTAAACTTAGTTTAGAAGTCTCTCTGCTATTTACCTGTTGTATGACCTCAGGCAGGTTACTTACCTTTGGTTTTTTACTTCCTAGTTTGTGAAATGGGAATAATAATAACCTACCTCATAATTTTGGGGTACAAACAAGATATTACATGAAAATGCCTAGAATAGTGTTTGGCACATGGTAAACACTATCAGTTATTAATTAGAAATTGTATAGCTTTGACAAGCATGTCATCTTGGAAAAGGTACTTGAAGGAATTTATAAATTATTGGTAACATTGCA